GACTAAAAGGCACGGATCTACAAGGAAATATGCAAATGCTGACTGTAAATCCAAGGGAAAAAAAAAAACCAGATTGCCGCAGGAAAAGGGGCAACTCACCGTCGACGTCATCGGCGTGGATATTCCGATAGCAGGGGACTTGACGGCAAGAAGTAAGAATACCAACGACAAGAACAGCGCTGAAGAGCAACAAACCATATCAGCGCAGAGGAAGAAGAAGAAATGGAGAAAGAAAGAGGGGTCGGGAGGTTATCAACAGGTATATTCGATAGTCAAATGTACAGAGGAAACGTTGTCATTTCCTATTGCTATTGAATATGTAAAAACATAATCGACAGCCTAATATTGTCGATTATACATATTCGATAGAAATATTTCTGTCGAATATTACCCATATTCGACAACCTTTTTGTCGAATATGTATGCTGTAGAATAAGAACAAAAAAATTGATTATAATCGACAATGAAACATATTCGACAAAGATATTGTCGATTATGTGTTTATAATCGACAACCAATTGACTGCCGAATATGTTCTTGTCTTTTATGCCTCCTTTTCCAGTAGTGTGAAAGGAATTAGAGCCAGTACATGGGAGGGATCAGAAAGGATTGGCATTGGAAAGACTGCCAACAAAATTGGCAATTAAAATTGACTCTCTTTTTAACCTGATGCTCTCCCAAATTAATTATTGCCAGCTGGGGTGAAGACAGCGGTTGGGGGGATTATTTTTCTGAAGAAAATGTGTTGAAATACCTGATTTAAACTTTTGATGTTTTTACTCAATTAAATTTAGTTATACGTGAGTCATAAAATTTTACTTGGTCAAAAATTTATTGCCACGTTATGTTCCATTATCTCCTAAAAAAGACAAGTTCAGTTCCTTTAAAAAGGGTTTAATTTAAGGGTTTATCTAATTTGTATTTCAAAAGTATAAGTTAGAAAGGTATTAATTATATTTTTTTAATTAATTTATATAAAAAAAATAAAAGTTGAGTTTAAA